GCTTAAGTCGACTTCGTAGTCGTAGGCTTTGTAGCCTATTCGAGAATCCACTCAAGTCACAACTTCGTAGTTGTTTAAGTCGACTTCGTAGTCGTAGGCTTCGTAGTCTATTCGAGATTCCACTCGAGTTACAACTTCATAGTTGTTTAAGTCGACTTCGTAGTCGTAGGCTTCGTAGCCTTGTCGAGAATCCACTCGAGTCACAATTTCGTAGTTGTTTAAGTCGACTTCGTAGTCGTAGGCTTCGTAGCCTATTCGAGAATCCACTCGAGTTAAAACTTCGTAGTTGTTTAAGTCGACTTCGTAGTCGTAGGCTTCGTAGCCTTGCCAAGAATCCACTCGAGTAGCACAACTTCGTAGTTGTTTAAACCGACCTTGCACCGAGGTCGAGGAAAAACACAACGAGCACCAAAAGATATGATAACAATCGATCATTCTCATTAGCATCATCAAAAATATATTTACACGAGCAAGATAATCGGAAAAAATATCCAGCGTATCACAAAATCATCAAACACATTTTCAACCTCCATTTCCTGTATACATGATGACTTCTGCTCGATTATTCCCTGCTATCTATTCCTTATTTCAACAAAGCAGTCCATGCAATATCTAAATATCAGTTCATCTGTTCATGTGTTTTCCTCAGCAAATATCAAGCAAAGTTCATGAGTCGTAGTCTATTCATATCATCTTATTTACGATTCCAATAACAATAATAGCAATAGATGAATTAAACCAATCAAACATATCCACGCGTTACTATATCACACCATAATCCACAATTAAGTTCTTTATCCCGATAATAAAGGACATAAATATCCACTCAAATGTACGATAGACTAGAATTTCACAAAACCAAGAGTTCAATAAATAATTCGACAAAACATACTCCGCAGATACCTACAATAATCAAACGAATGTAGCAAGTGAAATTTCAAATGAGTTCATCCTAATACAAAATTCCTTAGTCGTGGAGACTCGAGACTGGCCAGCCCGAAGGCCTTCGTCATGCCAGATTTTTCTTCACGGTTTCGCATATGCCTCTTTTTCTGCATTTTGTCAATTATCCACACAATGATTCGAAACATATTCATGTAAGCCATGATCCCAACAACATTTCTCCACAATATATTTGAATGGTGCACATTTCTCCAAGAAAGAGTGCCAAAAAATTCAATGTGTTGATAAATCATGTCGACCAAAACAGATGTCGAGAGTTGAGATTAATTGTGTACCTTAAAATCGAGAATACCACTGGGAATTATCCTACCTCACCAAAAGAGACTTGATCTCTGTCTTTGAGATTGCCACCAGTGATCAGCACCATCAAAATTTAACCTCCATTGTCATCTCACATTGATAGATTCGTGCTCGCTCATTTTGTCCTCGACACTCGAACATTTGTCTCAGTAATTTGTCAAGATTTGCATCATCCCATGGGTTCCTCGACAAGAATTCAAATAGATGTCGTTATCAACATTATATTCACGTCATCCGTTTTATCATTTTTCACACGAGAAAAATAAGAGATCAAATGCGAACATCACTATCTTCTCGATTCAAGGCATGTTCTAGCATTGACACACTTAGAAAATTATGGGCAATTTAATTTAAATAAATTCCACATGTTCTCATGAAAATCCAAATGAGAAACTCCGAATATATCAAAATAACCAATTATATAAATTTAATTCATGTCCTCAAGCCCACCGATGCGAGAGTGATAAGCATACCCAACGCACATCAAGCACGATCGCAAAATATTCTCAGTTCCAAATTATGACCCACGTTTATCTTCAAATGAACAATTCTTCCATGAACAAATCGATTGACTCCACGAATAGATCAAATACTTACGCGAGTAAATCAAATAATATTTCCACGAACATATGCAAATATTTGCTCGAATAGGTCGAGTAACATCTTCGTGAATATATCGAGTATTATCTCAACAAGCCAGTTAATAATTTTCAAGAATAAATCCAATCATATCTCGCGAGCGAATCGAATAATCCCATGCATACATCAGATAATATCCACAAACAAATCAAATACTATCACACCACACGAATCAACTAATTCCACGAGCGAGTCAAATAATCTCCATGAATAATTCAAACAGCTTCCTAGGATAATTCAAGTAAGTTTTATGAATAAATCACATAATATGCTTGCAAATCAACCAAACCATCACGCGAATAAATTCAATTGATCACGAATAAGTCAGATAATGTAGTCGTGAATATACCAAATCATTCTCATGAGTGAGTCAAATAATTGCACGAATAAATCAAATAATACCTCTGCGAGTGTATCCGAATATTTTTCACGAACCAATCACATATCACCACGAATAAGTCGAGTAATGTCCACGAGTAAATCATGTAATATGACCACAAATATATCAAACAATTCCATGAATAACTCCAATGGTCCACAATTAAATCTAATAATATTTCACGAACGAATCAAATGAATCATGTAATTCCATAAATAAATCCAGTAATTTTCCACGAGCAAATCAGACGACATTCATGAATAATCCGAATAGTTCCCAAGAATAACTCAAGTAATTCCTTCATCATAAAAATGTTACTTAAATTTACCTCCCCGTCTGCGTTGTGTCATTTCTAATTGGTCTTGTGCTCGAACCGGGGTAGTTGGACCAAGTTGGTGCCATTTTGGGCCACTTTTGAACCATCTAGATCAATTTGGTGCCTGTTTGGCGCAATTTGGGCCGCCTGGGTGCGGTCTGGGACGTGCTGGGCCGACTGGAGGCGATTTGGCCACTGTATGGGCCGCGTAGGGGTTGCTAGGCCGCGACATTAGGCCTGTCGGGGCTGGGAAGGAGTGGGCCTCAAGCTGCTGGAGATGGGCTGCAAAACGCGAGCCGAAATGCGGGATTCACGGGCTGGAG